CACGGCTACTCCAATTGTGTTGAACTAGTAACGAACATAGCATGTTCGGTTTCCGTGACAAACCTCACTAATCAGCTGTGTCAGGTGGGGGCGAGTTTAATGGCACGTTTATATTTACGCAATTTAACCTTCAAAAACCTATTTTATGGATTCTTGGAAATGTTGTTTGTACAAGTCACGCACGGTGCTTAACAGGAACAAATATGCTGCTCCATTAAATCCGAAACACACGCGATCACCCCCACAGTACAGTAGTTGCAATATCTGTACACACAGTGAGTGGTGCAGTTTGATTGATGTTGAATGGATGTGGCTCTGCTGTCCACTTGGTGGGTGGAGTCTTCCGCGCAGGAAAGTGTTATTCTCACTGAGCACCCACATTGATTGGATGATTGTGAGTATTCTTTCTCAATTTTCTTAACTTGAACAAAATCTATACCTTTGTAGTGATGCCGACACACATTAGTACTTTACTCAGAGCCATCAATGCGGATACAGCACTATCTTATCTTAATGAGATTTAAATAGCGCCTTTATCAAGGTGCTTTTGAGCGATTATGAATATTGTACATAGCGTAACAATAATTTGAAATTAATTATTGGGTTATTGTCCACGGTGTAGTTTTATGCAGCAAAGCAAAATCGATTGCTAAAGAAGGGTTTGGGATAGGCCTGGTCGAAGTTGGGGGTGCAACAGAAATCTTGGAGGGGCTGAGAGGTCATTAGTCAAATTTGCATTGGGAAGACAAAGGGGGGGGGGGGCTGAGAGGGGCCTGTAGCCAGGAGGGAGAATGGCGTCCACGGCGATGGAGTCTCCAGCACCGCCCACGACGTCCACGACGTCCATGCGGCATCCTATCTTCGACCAATCAACGTCTTCCTCCAACCAACAGTCGTCAACCGCCGCCCCCTACAGACGACCCTCGCTCCCGCCTTCTATGTTTGAATCTCTCCTCCAATCGCTTTGAATATCCACCGATTCTGATCAATCGCCGTCCTCCTCCAACCGACGGTCATCAAACGTCGACTCCTCATGTCACTCATAATAGTAAGGTTTGTCATGTAAACACAACATTGTGGATTTCAAAACCCCACAACATTGTGGGTTTGGTCTCCAACACACCAGTGTGCTGTACTACTGTTGAGGTGCAATTTATGACTCCGAGGCAGGTTGCTGTTAGGGGCTCACGCCACGTTTATTTAAGGGCTTACGCCAAGTTGTTCAGGGCTTACGCCAGGTGGATAGGCTTACGCCAAACCAGCACCCCCCTAGCCAATAACTCCCCAGGGGACAGGGTACTGGGATCCCTACACCCCGGCTAGCTCGGCTCTCCACCCTGCCCCGGCCCGGGACCACCCCCAACCTCAGCCGGTCGGGCGGAGTAGCCTCCCCTAGTCTCGTGTGAGGATCAACTACCCGAGTCCCCACTTCTACCCCCGATGAACCCCGGTTGCATCCCGGGTCCCCCTTTAAATACCCCCCTGGGGGCATGACGTCATCGTCCTCCACGGCCCGCGTGACGTCACGTCCCACGACGCCACTCTCTCCGAGGGCGCGCGTGACGTGTGTCACCCTCTACACCTCTACACTAGTAATGAATTGGCACGTTCTGTTTACGTTACAAACCTTACTAATTGGCTGTGTCGGATGATGGCGGGTTTAATGACACATTTATTTATTTACACAATCTAACCCAAAAAAATCCTGCATTATGGATGCTATTGGTTTGCAAAAGCTTCCTACCAGGTGTTAAACGTTCAAGTCACTGCTGGATGAGGGCCTCCCCATGCCGTGAGGGGGTCGTGGGGGTTGTTTGACCATACTTCACCACTCGGGGGGGGGAGCAGGAACGTGGCAGCATTAGCGCAGCGCAACAATACACGCACCCTCCTCGACTTGCGAACATGATTCGTCCCTAAGATGCTTTCGTACATCGAATAGTTCGTTAGCTTGTACGTGAGTGAGGTTGTTCGTAAGGCTGTGGATGCTGCTGAGCTGCCCCCTGCTGCTGACAACGTGGCCCTGAACAGTTTTTTTTTTAAATAAATACTCTGAATTGTAGAAATACCAGAGAAGTTACGTTATCCGTCATCCATGGGGAATGGAGGGTGCTGGGTAATCAAATGTGCCGGTTATCTGAGAGTTATATTTACGGCTCACCAATGTAATTTTGAAGAAAGAACAAAGCCTACATTTTTACTATGATGCTAGAAATTACGCACTATTTTACACAGGTACGGGAGGCCTTTGACTTGTTAACGGGTTCCATTCATGAGGCGCGTTCGTAAATCGAACTGCTCATAAGCCGGAACACAACATGCAATTTAAATACAGTACAGACAGGGGTATTAAATGTTTTTGTAATTTAACAAAAAAAATTAACATTGTTATCTAATAATTAAGAAGAAATAATGTACATTTGTTTGTGATGCTGTAATAAATACCGTATAGTAAATGCAACATAATATTAATTAACATGAATAAAATAAAATAAATGTTTAAAAAAATTATCGATTGAGAGTCGAAATGGCGTCGCCAGGTTGGTAACGCAGCGCGCTAACCGTTGCAATACCGCTCCCCAAACATACACACACACACATACGCACATACGTACACACATACACACACACATACACACATACACACGTGTGCAACAACAACAACCGCTATTCGCCACTAAGTGACGGTGACATCACCATGACGCTTGTGCCAGGCCATGTGCATCTTGAGGCCACATGAAGTGTCGAACGCCCGCCAGCAGGAGGTCACGGGGCAGACCCAGGTGCCACGGGTCGACTGACTGAGATGACTGGCTGATGCACCACCTGTGCCCTCTACTGTGCCAACTTGATGTGCTTTAGTCACCCGGTGCTCCGCTCGTTGTTGTGAGCATCGCTCATTCGCGCTCCGTTGTTGTTGGAGGGCGACTGCCTCCAACTGCCCAGTAGCAGGGTCTTTCACGAGGCTTCTGCACAGAGGCCGATCTTTACACCACTGGTACCAGTCATCGGCAAGTCCACTCAGCTCCACATCCTCCTGTACCACATCACTCCATCTCTTCTCTAGCCCGTGCCGCACCCGTTTAGCCCTCTCGATCCGGCCGAACAAAAGCTGTTAAGGCATGCGGTGGCTGGGCATGCGGGCTACATGGCCCAGCCAACGCAACCTTTCCTGCCGGAGGAGCTCACCGATGGGACTTTGCCCACATCTTTCAAAGATTTGTGAGCTCCTCACACAATACAGCCTGGTTAAAGCAAGGATGGATCGTAGGCAGGCCAGCCTAAATGTTTCCAACCGGTGATGATGTTCCATTCGGGGGGTCCACGTTTCGCAAGAGCAGAGAAAGGAGAGTATCCATCACAGGGGCATGGAGGTGGCATCGCTTCTTTTTGCAGATGACGTTGTCCTCTTTGCCCCGTCAGTCTGTGATCTCTAGCATGCACTTGAATGGTTGTATGTCGAGTGTAAAGCAGCTGGGATGAGGATCATTACCTCCAAATCTGGGTCATAGTTCACTCCCGGGAGACAGTGCTTTGGTCTCTCCAGGTGAGAGGGGAACAGCTGCCCTTAGTGGAGAAGTTTAAGTACCTCGGGGGCTCTTTCACGAGTGATGGTGAGTGGGAGCGTGATAGCGGCCGGCGGATTGGTGCAGCGCCCGCAGTGTTGCGGGCACTGTACCATTTTGTGGTAGTGAAGTGAGAGCTGAGTTCCCTAACAAATCTCGTGGTTTACAGGTCGATCTGCATTCCCACCCTCACCTATGGTCATGAGTAAGTAAGTAAGAAGTAAGTAAGAATATTTGATATTGCGCAGTCTTATAAGTCGAGTCCATCAGGAATGCGCATTGCTCACACGTTGAAGTAGGTTCTCTGAAACAACACTGTTTTGTGTCTGTTGCGGAATTGGCTCAGACTCGGGGATGGATCCGGAACATCATCTTTGGGTAATAGGTTTCTCCGCAGGGTTGCCAGGTTAACTATCCATGATCGGATGAGGAGCTTGCTAATCGGGGAGAGCCTCAGAGTCAAGTTGCTGCTCCTCTGAATTGAGAGGAGCCAGTTGAGGTGGTTCGGGCACCTGGTTAGGATGCCCTCCGATAGTCTCCCTCTAGTACTCTACCGGGCACGCCCCACATGGCGAAGACTCCGGGGGCATCCCCGGACACGCTTGCCGGACTGTCAAGCTAGAATACGTGTCTAGAAGTGTATAGTAATGTAGTGTATAGTGTAGTGTATAGTATAGTAGTGTATACTAGTGTATTGTTGTGCATATAAGTGTAGTGTATCGCAATATGTAGTGTAGTGTATAGTGTAGAGTATAGTGTAGTGTATATTGGCGCATGGTAGTTTAATGTATAGTAGTGGAGTGCATAGTAGTGCTGGAACCCATTGGCAGGGAAAGGGAGGTTTGGACTGCCAGACTCAACATGCTGCCGCCGCGAACCTCACCAGAACAAGCGGATTGAGAAATGAATGAACGAATACAAATTGATGCTGCTTATGTCTCCAATGAGTCGTTAATACTCGGTAACGGATAAGTATCATCCCGAGTCACCTGATTTAATTGCCTAAGAACTACGCAAAACCTCAGTGAACCATCGGCCTTCTTTACTACAACCACCAGTGGGCCTTAGTGGCTGGTGGAGGCAGAGGTAAAATCTACTCTCTGCATTTTTTTTCTCCTTGAAGAATTGTTCTAATAAATACACAATCATTGAGTTAGACTTATAAGTAATGCGGATTCTTAAACCTGACCGTGTGGATTATTTAAAAAGCAAGGCAATTGAACTCGAAAAACAATGCAAGTAGAATGCAACTCTTTGTGCGACCTTTTTTGCAAAACAGAACCCAACGTCCCTCACATTCATTGCCATGTGGTCACTATCTTGATCGTCTCATTTATTATTATTTTCCATTTTCCCTTGGTGTGTTTTGTATTTCGTGTTTGTCTTGTTCACCACTTTGAAAATCTGCTTTCATTAAAGCACAAAATAATTGAATCCTTTGATTTTTATAAATTTATTGATTAAAACCGAGAGTTATGACCCCATTAAAACATTGAATTGTGACTTTGAAAACATTATTTTAAACGGATGTTTTCTATCTAGTTGCACAGCCACTATATCATGCTCATGCTCCAGAACATACAAACAAGTATTAATTAATACAAATAACTGTGACCCCTTCAGCATTATAAACATTACACAATCCAGATTAGCTTAACAAAAAAAATGCGACATCCAAACAATCCTTAGTTCATTGGTTGTTGGAATACCAACCATATTATTTAAATCACATTCTTATTCCCAAATAATATAAGATACACAGAAAACAAATATCATATGGCAGATAGCAAAGCACTATGCCAACACTCCACTTCGCAAATATGACTTAAATATGTGAAATATATTCCTGTATTGTATGCAGATAGTATAATCTTTATGTATATATGAAGTTGCATGCAATCGAAAATAACAACTCAAATTCCAGAACAACTCCCAATTGCTCACGCACCTTATTTACAATGACCAAATTGGCAATGGACGCAAATAACTTAAATTTGTTAATGTAAAATATGAAGCTTCGTGTAAAATAATTATATGAAAAGTCAATCATTTGTGTTGTCTTTGGAAGCGGTTGGCAGTTGTAGAACTTGATCTTTCCTCTCGTCCACCCTTCTGAAGCATTCGTCAGCAATGATGCCACTTTTATTCGTTGCTTTTTATGAATCCATCCATGTCGTTTTATTCATCGCCTTCCATATCCCTTCAAAGTGAGGAATTCCTGCCACCTGTATTCCAAACAATGCCCAGATGATGAATGTGTTGTTCTACTTATTGATCTCAGCCTATTCGTTGGTATTTATAGGACCTCTGCATTTGTCGTTTTCCTGATCCGGCTTCCACTCAGCATTTACATTTTCAAGTTGTTTGCTTTTGGCCATTGATCTTTATGATATGTTCCACTTAATATGCAGTTTTTTCCTTTGTAAAACCATCTTCATGCTATGCGAATTGTGGTGTTAAAAATAATGTAGACCTTGCAATAACATACAATGGATCTGGAGGAAAGGAAGATGAGTAGGCAGCGTGGACAATATTTGCTAATACGCTTATAAGGATATCACCTAAAACCATTCTAATGTACAAGTCCTCCCCTCAAGTCATACAGCATATTGACTTCGATGCATAAACGAAGAAATTGTATTGATTGTATGCAAAACTGTTATTTTTTCTTCACATTTACCAACCTGTGCGATTATATGTCCACGTATTAAAATGTTGTTATCGTCATTATCATCAGTTACTGAACGTTCAGCATAAAAAAAGCAATAGCACTGCCATAAATACACATTTTTATAAATATAAAACAGATTATTTGTGATAACGGCACTTTTTCATAGCACAAACAGAGGTCAGAGAAATAGAGTGCATAAGGGTTGAAGACTAAGAAATGTGAGTTTTGTTTATTTAACTTGTAATGTGTAGGTGACTTGTAATGTGCAGTGATGTATCAACCGATTCCACCTTCATCAGTCTCTTGTGATCTACATGTATGCATTTGATATTTACGTCTTAGGCTCGATGTTGATCATTGTCCAACCTCTCTTAACTTCGACTGTGCCCTATAAAATGTGGTTAATAAGTTCCTCTGGTCTTATACAGATATTTCACAGCATGCTGCCAACCTTACTATCAATTGTCTACTTTGTATCATAACATAATTAATTGAATACACTTCCAAAATGAATAGGGTTACAATACACATCTCTCCAATATCTGTACCTCAATATGAACATTCAACGAATATTTTTTCACATCCCATCAGCGACACGACATTTTGGAAGCACATGATTTCAGCAACATTGATATTGTAGGGAGTCATATTGGCTGCCTGTTTGTGTTACTCAGTTTAACACGTAGGCCTTTGCGACCAATATCTTCCATAATAGAGGTTTTTTGGGTTAGATCGCGTAAATTTGTGTTACTATTTGCAAAGAAGTTGCTAAGTATTTATTATGTTGCTGATTTTATTGACTGGTTCTATTTGATGAGTTTCCTAACAGTGTCAAGAGCTTTCTTCTGTTTCTGTCGAGAAAAAAATAGTTGAATGACTTAAACAGATTTTGACCTTATTTTGTATTTGTTTACATTGGCAGTTCTGACAGGGCTGTTTAGTGTATGATTTAATATTCTTTCGTCTTCTCCATCAGGTCTCTTGGATTTCAAATTCCATGACTAATCACTTCGGCACATTCCCCCTTAGTCACCCAGGCCTGTTTTAACTCCCGAGCCTTGTTAATAACATGTTTTGGCCCCTTATTGTGATATTACATGGAATCATCCGTAACTTAATGTAGCGCTAACATTAGTCATGGTGATAACCTTATTCAAATCATTGCTTCATATTCTGCCTTGATCTGTCGGCTCTGTAGCTTGTCCAAGTCATATTTCGCTCTCGTGCTATTTTCCCTGCAATTATTTCTTAGTTTGTTCGTGACCATCATCATTATTAAGCCACCGTCACTTCCAATGTCTGCCCAGAGAAATATCCACTCTGTTTATTTGACTGAAAATGGTTCGACATTCGTGTATCGTCAGTCCAGTAGTGAAATGCACCACAACATGAATGCTACGTTGATCTTCTTGATGATTTGTGAGGGTGAATGGTGTTTATCAGTACAATGTTGTTTAATTTAATAAATTCTATGAGCCTTGTAAACCCAGCTAATTTGTGCGTCCCATGTGGTGCCTTTCCAGTCATTGGAAGTATTTGTTCCCATTATGGATTTACAGTACCCTGAGGCTTGCTGAAATTCGGTTGTATTTACTCAGATATGTGTTATAGGTGGGTCTGAACGTATAATTGGAGAGCAAACGAGGTAATTGTACGTAATGGTGATATCATTATTTTAATGGGAAAAATGGCATTCAGCAAGACATAATTGCTGCTGTAAAGGTAAATAAGCAGCAAAGAAGAAGTTACTGGTAAAGATGTTTCAACATTTACTTAAATGTTATATTTGGCAGATATCCATGCTGAGAACGAAATACTTGATAATATTGGAACCTCCTTTGCCAGTAGCAAAATATGATAATTGGTTTTTTACCCATTTATCTGGCCCCAAAACTGACACCTTTTATTTACAAGGAGTCATGTTTGCATTGACCACAATACCTGCGGTCGGAATGCAAACAAAAAACACAACTCTGATAATGTAGCACTGTCCTTGAAATTGATTGGTCCACAACCGAAACAGCTTTTCTTAAAGCCTAGTCTCACGTGGTTTTGGACCAGATGACGCCAAAAGGCGCAATATTGGAACCTTTTCAGCTTTGGAGTTGACTTCAAATGGCCATATTCTATCGCATGAAAATATATTATTACTCTAATGCTGAAGCAATTTTGAATGAACATAAAGGTCTGAAATTAACGATTGTGAGGCAAAATACCAGTCTTAGGCATTCATTAGAGGGGATGGACAGCTGATTAAAGTTCTAGAAGAGAGTACCCAGGGGAGAAGGCTTTGCCTCATGAAATAGGGGTCCGACACCAACATGAAGAAGAAAGCGCAAGGCTGGAGAGTATTTGTGGGAATTTGAAGCACAAACTTGCCATTAAAACATGCAATAATGGTTTTAGATTTCATTTTAAAATTGTAAAGTATAAACACAATTTAATATTAAGCAAGTATTTAGCTGATGTGTAATTTACCACTTCCATTAAAATTTATATTCTTAATTTTGTATTTACATTTGAAGTGCATCACAAACAAAATGCACGTTTAAACAAAACAAGAGTATAGAGGAATAAACACATTGGAAATGATTGTAGATATATCTTTACAGATTACTTAAAAATATGGATATATTAATTTTGCGCGAAAAAATTCACGTCTTAGGCAGATAACACTGTAACAATTTTTTTCCCCTGGGCAGTAAGTGTTATTTCCTAATTGGTTATGCGTCAAAGGTACAGAAAATGGCTATTATTCCCCACAAACTTTGCTTTTGTGACCAGGACATTGACATTTTAAATTTACCTATTTTCCAGAACATTCCAGATAGATTCAGTACTGAGTAAACTTGGAGATACTTCTAGAAAATGTTTGAACTTTCCAGTAATATAAATAGTATAAATAGAGGGGCTGTAAGCCTACCAGTTCAGTTTAGTTCCAGCTGCCTAAGTGGATACATATCTGCATTTTTCTGTGATGGCATCAAAAGGCTGCAAGCGTCCGGCAGACGCATTTTTCTATGTCTGCGGCCAATTTATCAAGACAAGAGCGACAAAGTACTCTGTGGAAGCATCTGCTAAGATGTGTGAGGCCTACAAGGCATATTTCGGCATGCCTGTCGGGGATCAAGACAAACCCTGCGCACCTCATTTCACCTGCGAGCAATGCAAAACAACTCGCAATTTTATGTTATGAAATTTGTTACAAAAAAATTAAATTGTAAAAGTTTTTTATTTGAAAATGTTTTACAATTTTCAATGTTATTGGAAAAATATATCATCCATGAAAAATGTTGGGAGAATCTCTTACACGTTAGTCATGTGTGAAATAAAAATTCTGTAGGATGGCATAGAGGAGAAAAGAGAGTCATGAAGTTCGCTATCCGAAGAATTTGGCGGGAACCCACTGACCACTCAAGCAACTGCTACTTCTGCATGGTGGACCATTCCAAACGTCGAACTGACAAGAATGCACCTGCTATCACGTATCCGGACCTTCCTTCATTACTCGCCCCGGTGCCGCACTGCCATGTGCTCCCCGTTCCCACTGCTCCAGAGAGAGCAGCCATCTTTAGAAGGGAGCAGCAAGTCAAAGAGCGAGAAAACCTTGTAGATCCAGATGACAATTTCAGGGGTGGAGCTGAGGAGAGAAACCTATACTAACCCAACCAAAAAGACCTCAACGACTTGATCAGAGATCTTGGTCTCACCAAGTCCAATGCCGAGCTTTTGACGTCTAGGCTCAAGCAGTGGAACTTGTTGGATGAAAGTGTGCAAGTTGCAGACCAGAGGAAACGTCACCAACCTTTTTGCAGCTTCTTCACCCGTCAAGATCGGCTCTGCTTCTGCCACAATGTGACCAGTCTGTTCGAGGCAATCGGAATCGCCTGTAACCAGAATGAGTGGCGCCTCTTCATTGACAGCTCATCCTGGAGCCTCAAATCTTTGCTGCTTCATAATGGTAACAAGTACCAGTCTCTTCTCCTGGCTCACTCGGTGCACCTCAAAGAGGATTACAACAGCATCAAGACCTTGCTGGACGTCTTGAAGTATGATGAGTATGGCTGGGAGGTCATCGGAGACTTCAAAATGGTGGCATTCCTGATGGGTCTCCAAGGCGGTATTACCACGTTTCCCTGCTATATTTGCCTTTGAGACAGCAGGGACACCAAGGCGCACTATCACAAGCGGGGCTGGCCACAGCAGACCGAGTTCTCTGTAGGGAATAACAACGTCAAATGGGAGCCACTGGTGAACCCGCGGAAGGTGCTGATGCCACCACTGCACATAAAATTGGGCCTTATGAAACAATTTGTTAGAGCCGTAGATAAGGAGTTGGCAGCCTTCAAGTACCTTCAAGACTTCTTCCCTAAGCTGTCTGAAGTCAAAGAACCACAGAAAAAGAAGATCCTGGAGTGCAATGAATTCCCCAAGAAGTAAGGAAAAAGCGGCTTGGAACAGCTTTGCCGCAGTGATTCGTGGATACCTGAGCAATCACAAGGTCGAAAACTATGTGGAGTTGGTTGAGACTCTGGTGAAGAACCACCACACAATGGGCTGTAGAATATCCCTCAAAATCCATATCCTTGATGCTCATCTTGATAAATTGAAGGAGAACATGGGAGCATACTCGGAGGAGCAAGGCGAGCGATTTCACCAGGATATATTGTACATTGAATGCTGCTACCAAGGACAGTATAACGAGAACATGATGGGAGACATTTGGGGGCTGATTCTTGAAAGTGATTTACAGTATAATCGTGAATCTCGAAAACTACTCACTTCTAAATCTTTGTAGTAATTTTTGTATTACTTTAGTATACAAACATGTCTATTTTTATTCATGTTGTTTTTTTCTGACTTTATGTGAACGAAAAGACACAAATTTGCCCGTTTTCTAATTGAAAATAGGTAATTTTCAAAATATCACTGTCCTGGTCACAAAAGCAAAATTTGTGGGGAATAATAGCCATTTTCTGTTCTTTATGAACCATATGCAATTTGGAAATAATACTTAATACCCAGGAACAAAAATTGTGTCACATAATGTGATCAGTTTATTATAACACCCACAATGCCTCAAGTTAAGTGTATGTACATATGCATGCATGTAACGATCGTTAAATGTCATGCCATTTTAGAGATGTTGCTGTTTGATGATGAATTGTGTTTGTTATTAAAAATATTAAAAATGAAAGACTGTAGAGTTTGAAACAGAGCCACATATTCATAAGTTAATCTGTGACATAGGGTGCTCAATTGTAGTTTCATTAATCAACCTACAGATTCTCTAAATCCTTAATAACATCATCTTCTTTAATAGATTCCCAATCTGATGGGACTTTTCCCTTGGCTGAAAATTTTAGGTTATAGCGCTTTTCTAAGTCTGACTTGAACTTGCAGACAAACCATTTCCAATATGGCTGTGTGGTTAAGTCTGGTGTTATGCTCCAACAAACATATTCTGGTCCGGCTGTACGATAATCCTTATATGGTATATTTCTGTCTGGAAGCACTAAGCTGCAGTTGCTGGCAACTAAACTCGTGCAGATGTCGGTGACAAAGTGATCAGTTCTATGCCACTTTCCTCCACTCACTGCACTGGGGCGGTGAATGGGAACACTGTGGTCTCCGTCATGATTGAACATCGTGTTTGTGCAGATAGCTTTACACATCGGGCACTGCACCCAGCACCCACATAGCTGCCGAAATAGTATTTCGTGAGGTTGGTTCTGAACGTTTTGTAAATCATTTAAGCATGCTGAAGAAAATGTATCTTTTAATCCTTCAACCACGGTTTTTAGTCCTTTTGTTAATTCTTCTTTAAGAAATCCAATATCCGTTATGTCGCTGCAGTCGCCTTGGTCCAAAGTGTGTCTTGGGAACTTGATGACGTCATCAAGTTGTGTGCAAAATGTATCCAGCCATGAAGATGCATCATACTCGTTTTTTTGTACAACTTCCGTTCCCTTATTGATTGCACGAGTAATTGCAGCTGTGGTATCCCCAAGACTTGACTTTAACATCTCGTGAATTATTTCATTATCTTTTCCCTTGCAATATTCTTCTACACATTCCGTAATGTATTTTTGAAAGTGTTCTTTTGGATGGTGAATATATTCATCAAATGCTTTAAAATCTTTCTTTTTCGCTAAATCTATGAGAATGTAGTTTTCTAATTTTGATCGATTTCCGTTGAATGCCGGAAATGTGGACTTCATCCTGCCTGCAATGTCAATGCAAACTTTATCATAAACTGTCTGTTCAATGGATGCTTTCAGTTTGTTACACAAAAAATCCACGAAAATAGTTGTGGACGTTGCGCCTTGGCAGCGGATTTTGAAGCTGTTGAAGTATTCTTCTTTCTTACTGGTGAAGTATACTAATGGATCGTTTTCCCTCTGGAAATTCTCATGCATTTCCTGAAATCGCCCCGTAACCTCTGCTAATATGTGGACAGATAAATCAATTTTGAACTTATCTGTGAGCCAAAATCTTCGATTGGTTTTTGAAAATTCCTGTATGTCTGAATTCATTACCTCTAAAATTTCACGTATGTAGGATGGGTTGAAATTGGTTTTATGTTTCTCCTGGGTGGTAATGCAGCTCCTGACTTTGTATTTTATGTCAGTAATTTTTATTTTTATTAACTCAGTATCCTCATCTTTGAAATGGTGACTCCGAGCTCCAAGCCATGTCGCGTTCATCATAATGTGTTCGTTTTGATTAACGTTAAGTTCTGTCCCTAAGTGATAGTTCAATATCACTGTTTCTAGGTGTTGAGTTTGATTCTCGTAAACGTCGTAAAGAAGGTTTTTAATTTCTTTTTTTACATCAAGCGTTGCAGGGCTGGTCATACCGTCTTTTATCACTTTAATCCACTCCTTCCAGATTTTATCAAAATCATTCTTCAATTCTTCGTCATTTACTGTATTTCCTCTCAATATTGAAGCCAAATCCTTGCTCTTTCTAATAAGTTGATCTTCATAACTTGATCTCTGCAGATCAAGATTTCGTTTTTTGTGTTTTTGAGCCATCAGGGCAGAGTAGTTTTTGTAAGCATCAAATACTAGCTCTTCTTTCAATGTTTCAAATCCTTTTTCGAATTTAACTTTCCATTGAACCAACAATTCTGCATCATCTGCGCTATTGAAATGTTCTTCCATTTTCTTTTTAATATCCTGATAGTTTGACAAAATTCTTCGTTCAATCTGTAATCGTGTCATTGTATCTGTATTGTTATCAATGCTGTTATAGAGTTTGTTTTCCTGCTGAAGAACATGACTCCTGAGTTCCCAAGTCCATTTTCCATACATTTCTTCCAGTTTGGTATAAGCTGCGATCTCTATTGTGTTCTTAAAGCTAAAAACGAAGTTTTCTGCGAGCAAAGCCGTCCATAGATTTTTAATGCGTGATTTGAATTCTGATATCTTCAAGACATTGACTGTTTTTTCCTTTTTGGCATTTCTAAGTAACATTTCTTTAAGGTCTTTAATATTTTGGCAGTAGCTTGGATTTGGCGGAGCCATCGGAGGGTCTCCCTCCCAAAGATGAGCAAAGTAACGGATCTGAGAGTTCACGTCAAACCTGATCACTGCGTCAAATGATGCAACAGCGCACTGCTCCTGGTCTGCAGCCATGCGGGTCATCTCATCGAGTTTCTCCTGAAAGCGTCTCCTTCCCTCCATGTTCTTATTGTGAGCAGTCACATCTCCTACGTTTTGATGGACAAACACACAGCTCGGTGATAACTTCACCTGCCTCATTCTCAGAAACGCCTGCACAGCAATTTGTAGAATGTCTTGCATTTCAGAAGGGTTCTCTCCAAAAATGTTGATCACGGTCATGTTTCCCAGCCCAATCACAAACGTTGCCAGCTGATTGTCATGACTACGTGTTGCATTTGACAACTCTACAGAACGCAGTCCTTCTGTGTCGACTATCAGCACGAAGTCATATCCCAGCTGTTTACTGAACTCTGCCTCCACCTTCACTAACTGCATGTAGGCCCCTCGGGTGCATCTCCCACTGCCAACAGGAAACTGGAGACCAAACATGGCATTGAGTAGCGTGGACTTCCCACTACTCTGTATTCCCAGTATTGAGATAACAAACAGCTTCACGTTCCCAATTTTAGCAATGATTTCGTCCAAGATTGAGCTAATCCAAATGAGTGGGACATGTGCAGCATCACCATCCATGAGTTCAAGAGGAAATCCAGAGATCATCATTTCTGCAGCAATCTTGGGCAAAGTAGCTGGGAGTTTGTCAACTGATGGCGTTGTCTGTGAAGCTTCGTAGATCTGACCAACTTCCCTAAAAACGTGATCGATTCCAAAGGAAGAGGCTTCAAGTTCTTCTGATATTTTATCCAACTCTGATTGTTTTGTAGCAATGGCACTCGTGTTACAAGCTTGTATTTTCAACGCTTTTATTTCCATCCAGGTCTGATGATAAGTGAGATGAAGTTGTGATAAGCGATCTGCAGACATATTATCTAAGTATATGCGTAGCCAATGCAGAAAGTATGTTTTTACTGTGCATGCCTTTTGGTTCAAAATTTCAATCAATGATCTCATAAAATCGTTAAGAGGAAATGCTTTTTCAAGCTGTGCTTTCCTAATGCGTGTTTTTTCTCCTAAAATATTACTTTTGTATTCCTCAATACTTTGTCCCCCCCTTACCGTCATGCGTTTCAATTCTTTGTCTTTCTTGCACCACGACTGCCACAATTTCCCTTGAAGAGGCAAAAATGTCTCCTTTATGGAACACAGCGGCTTGTCACTTATAAGACTCAGCAAAACTTTCGCCATATCCTTTCCCTCTTCACATTGTTTATCATCTTCATCAACAATGAAGCCATGCTGTCTTGCAATAGCTGAGCAAGCCTCGATGTTTATTTTTATTTTTGAATTGTTTAAAAAAAAATTGATTATTGATGTCACTTCATCGATTAACTCAGCCTCATTTCGATTCTCGACAGCAATTTTCGCGTTTGTTCCAGATACTCTGCTGGAAACTCTCTTTTTGTCAGCACAGAGGCAAATTAGCGGCTTTGGAGATCTCAAACATTCGTCTAAGATACGTTTGCCTTCTTCATTGCGATCACCATCTGACAGTAAAATTACATTTATAGACGAAATCTCATGTAAAAATGTTACCTGTGTTTTGTGTTCTCTTGCATCTCCATGGAGATTAGTGAATGCTATGCAGTCATTAAATACATCATTGTCCTTCGCACCTGGAAGATACCAGGCGATCTCTGCAACTCCTTTCATTAGTTGACCATTCCTGCTGCTGCCTCGGCAGTGCCTATTAAAAAAAACTCGATGCGTTTGATTGCCGAGCAGAGAGTTCATTATTTGAGATTTCGATGCAGGTGATTCACCAAATCTTACGAAGGACACTAGCGGTGTGTTGGCATCAGTTATTGCACAGTTTTTAGATTGCCATTTTTTGGTAGATGCATCACGGTATTTCCAGCTCTTTTTAATCTGTCTGAATGACCATATAGGGAATTCTATTTCTGAACGACAAGGATTTGGAACTAAAAGCGGAAGTGCGAACTGGATGAATGAAAGTTTGGTGTAAATGTACTGCCTTACAAAATTGTCTCCACAATGGAAAATTGCCATTTGTAAGTCCATAGGGTGAATGTAGGTTTCAGTGTTTGTCCTAGGCCCATCGCTGTTATTTATTACGTCATCATCATTATCATCAGAAAAGAAGCTATCACTATTATGGCTTTTATTTGTATTCGTGGACTGAGATATGTTGTTTAATTTGCCTTGGTTTTGATTTTCACACTGAAAACTAACACATCTTGCTCGATAGTCAATCATCATCAGTTTTTGCAGATACGAAAGAGCAAGTTCTTGTTCTGTGCATCGATCAGGGTTAGTTTGAATTGGAGACCTGTTGATAACACATACATCACTTGTGTGTAATTCTTTGGGGTAGTATTTTATCAGCGAGAGTCTTTCAAGCAGATTAATTAACTTTTCATCATCATCATTTCTTTGTGGTTGAATAGATGGTTTATTTTGTAATTCTTCTTGCCTTGAATATGTGTCCTCTTTACACCCCCCCTGGGAAATTATTCCTGCATTTTGTATCGTACATTCTTTCTTTGAACTACATGTTTGTTCTTTGGAAGTTCCAGCGATAATGGATTCCAGCATCATATCAAGTTTATTCCAGTCAGTTGGCCCTATTTCACTGCATTTAATCACATGGGAAACTTCAGCACACATTGTTTCTTCGACCTGGGATCTCATGAAATCGAACTGTTTTCGTTTTTCGGCAAGAGTCCGTGCATTAGACAAACCTGTCCGTAACACGTATGCCTGAGCTCTGGATTTGTCTTGTTGCATCAGTCTTGAGTACTCTCCGTAAGATGACTCTAGTGCACGTTGAAGATGATCAATGTTGTCGTAATTCAGGGGATGCTGAAATCGTTTTTCTTTTACACAGTAGCCAACAGCAGAAGCAACTGAAATGATGAGTAGCTCTTGTTCGATGCGTTTTGTTGTTCTCAGTGATTGACAGAATGAATTAAATGCATGTGTGATTTCTTTGTTTCTTTTTCCATGAATTTCTGAATAAGTTGGTGAAAAGTCAACTTTCAAATGTTCTTTTGCTTTTGTTAAGATGTTCACGAGATCTTTAAAGTCAGATAATTGAGTAGGGACTCCTTCAGACTCATTCAGCCACTGCATAATGGAGGCGAATTGTGGAAAACTGTCAACGTCACAGCTGTTTGGCTCCATAATAGACCGCATAAGCTTTGTTATTTTCACCGTTTTGGCAGGTGCTGTAACAAGATTTGACCAAAATGATTGGAGGGCTGGGTGAGATAAACAGGTGTTTATCCAAGTTAAATTGCTTTTCGTTTCATCATATAACGTCTGTTTCAAATCAAGTATCTTTTTTAAATTATTTTCCATGTCGGATTCTTGCCAATGTTTAATATCTTGCATCACTGACCTGGCTTTAGCATTAGCAGAGACCAATATGGTCTCAAGACAAAAATTGGGATTTTGGTTTGTCAAAAGTGTGTATGCCTCCTTGAGCCTGCTAGCTATCAAGGTATTTTGAAAATCATCCTTGTGGTTAAACTTGACAATGTCCCACACTGGAACCAATGATGTGCCTAGATCAATGACAGACCACGTCTTGGTGTTGGATACAATGTCGGTTTTCCATTGTTGAAGAGAACAAATGCCAGGTGATCCACCTATTGTACCTACGGAAAATGTCACCTTACTAAGAAGTGGAGCATTGTATTTTTCAGAAAATTCCGTGGTAAATTCGGATGCCATCATGCTCACACCACCTGCACTACCACTGCTGTTGTAGGCAGAAGTGGAATACATTTCCACTGCCTCCGATAGCATATTTCTGTCTTCCTTTACCTCATCTGAACTGATGCCCTCTGCTGATGCTTTCCACTTAAATATCCCACCAAAGTGGACAGGGCCTGTATGGGCATGAGAGCCAAAGTTCTCAAAAAAACTTCTTAACCTGTTTTTTAGCACATGCGTTTTAAAAGAATCCTTGGCGGTTTTTAAAGTGTTTTCAACGCTTTGTATTTCCTCCAACGCCTCATCAGAGAGCTTGAGTTGATTAAAGTCAAGACTACCTGAGGCAATTGGTAGGTACAGGTATTTGGCGCTATGAATGCAGGTATCCGTGGGATTATCTTGTTGCTTTTTTTCATTGTATAATGCCTTGCTATGCTGCGAGTTGATTTCTTCCTTCAAGGACTGTAGGAAACCTTCTTCTGTCGTGATGGTATTGAATCCCATTACTTCCATTGCTGTCTCAAGTATTTTTTCCTCTTCAGATGATGAAAACTCTTGTTTCTTTATCATCGGCTGATGTACTGGCCCAGCAAGATCAAACGACATTGGGATGTTTAAGAGTTTGCCTCTTTTCTTTAACCTATCTTTTATTTGACCAGTTCGATACACCCCCTCCAAAGCAAGTCCTTTAGATGCATTTTGTAAAAGACTTAGATGTGAAAAAGTCCCAAGTAAAGTTGAAATGTCTGCTAAATCTAACTGCTTTAGAGAAGTGTTTGCCATATCATTGGAATGGCTGCCATCACATAATGGGGTTTCTTTTTCTCCTTTCAATTCCATTTGCTGCTCTGTCTCAGTCTCTACGTTGGCCTCACCACTGTGAATTAATCTTTTCTGATGGATTTGTTCTGGATGCTGCTTTGCTGGTGCATCTTGCTTCTGTTTATTTCCAATTGGCTCACATTGTTGTGATTGTTTTAAAACAACTTCATTGCCCGACATTCCCAATAACGTACACAATGCCTTTTTCTCCCATGAATGCCGGCAATATGGTTCTATGATTTCAAATTCCTCAGGGCCAAAATATTGCAATGCTTGTACATTGGTGATATCCAAAATATCTCGTAGTTTTGGAATCCAATAAGTTGTATTAATTCCTAAGTCTCTAAGTACTTTGGCAAGCTCATCCTCAGCTTTAATGTCATGTTCCTCCTCTTCAGACATAGCCTTGAATACACACATAGACATCGTCCTTAATTAGTAATACAACATTTAACAATAATACAAATCAATGTATAATTCAGTTGAATATTGAATGTTGTTTTAATCATAGCATAACAAATATTCAGACGAATAACCAAAGTTCATCACCTATTTAAATGTCAAACATCTGTGAAAAATATTAAATAAAGAATATGAATATTAAATAAAGTATTTCCTTATACCTACCATGCTTATCTACGTTTTTAATAATACAAATTAAATATATATACAATTTAGATATTTAAACAAACGATTAAGCCGTTGCTTGTTGAAATTTGGAATTTAACAGTACGGAATCAATTCCTTTAACGGGCCCAATTTTTTTAAGAGACTAATAGGAAGTGTTTTAATTTACCGTGCTATAACAAGCAGCACTTCAGCCATGGCACCAAAAGCTAATGGATCAATCCTGCCCAGCTCCTGTGCTCAAGTTCCACACGTGGTTCTCATGCCACTTGGCCCGAAACTCTTTTCCTAAAAAAACTACTTTCCAATTTCGATTTAAAGTTTTCGTGACTGCAGGGATTCATCTTCTTGGTTTTTTCGGTAAATTCACGTAGAAGGGAAGTAATAAAATAATAAAAATAAAACATAATAAAACAATTCTCACGACGTTTCGGCCACAACGCAAGCAGTCGTCCTCAGGTGAAAACCAGGTCTGTCAAGGCGACAGCGTCTGAATGAAACAGCACACGTGCTTGGAGCATATATATAAGCTGAGTTGGAAGGGGGGAAAAGGGGCGCCTTGACAATAGAATATGCATATCAAGAGGAATTTTGCATATTTATGGGAAATGCAGGTATTAATCACTAATCACATACCTGCATTTCCCATAAATATGCTAAATTCCTCTTGATATGCATATTCTATTGTCAAGGCGCCCCTTTTCCCCCCTTCCAACCCAGCTTATATATATGCTCCAAGCACGTGTGCTGTTTCATTCAGACGCTGTCGCCTTGACAGACCTAGTTTTCACCTGAGGACGGCTGCTTGCGTTGTGGCCCAAACGTCGTGAGAATTGTTTTAAGTTTTATTTTTATTATTTTATTACTTCCCTTCTACGTGACTTTACCGAAAGAACCAAGAAGATACTTTCCAATTGAGAACGTTTTTGGCTGCATGTCATTTCCCAATGAAAATGTTGATAAAAGTCGGTCTTTATCCAATGCTACACCGGTCCCTAGAGGTAGTAGTAAGGGGTGTACTGGGGTGGGGCCAACGTCATGTATAGAAAAAAGTGGTGCGGCGCTTGGAGTTGACAGATATGGGGATACTATGAGGTCTGGTCTTAGAGATCGTGTGTCTACTGTGCAATTGCAGGATCTGGTAGAAGTTAAAAGTGGTGGTACTAAGGTTTGGTGGTATCAAGAGCTTTGACCGTGATGACATCTTGATCTGAAAGCCAATGCTCTTTGTGCCAGAGTGAGCTAAGGCCACACACGCACACACTGTGTGCCCCTGCGCGAGAGTAGGGTGGTCTTAGGCACTTCTCAAAGCTACAATCACACTGGGGTCAATCGATCGCATAGGGATAATATGTTGGACATCACATTACATTATTCCAATCTGATATGTACAGTACATTATCCATTGTAGTGACTGCTGAAGTGGTGATGGCCATTTCTTTTTCGGGGGCTTGTATACATTGATTACCATCACATGGCCAACCATGACGGTTATTATGCATGTGCCGTCACTTGTGGTACTGGACTTAAAAGCACAGGCCTTTAGGCCTTGCCTCATGCAGGTGGTGAGGTGATGTTTAGGTTGGTTAATGGCAGCACCAAAAGTTTCACCATTTTTTCTGTAACTTGCTATCCGCGTGCTGGCACAGAATGGTAAACTCTTCTTTGAATGAAAAAATGTGTACGTCTGCTTTTAAGCTCATCAAAACTACAGTATCATATGAACAATTATTTGTTTTGACTGTAGTCTCCTTAATTCTGTATTAAGTGTTTTTTTTTCGAATGCGTAATCCACTTTGAAGCTGTGAATAGCAATTATTATATGCATAAAATGCTTTACAACGAAAACAAATATCAAATCATGAATATATAATGGTCAGCACCAATGATTGGTGGAAAACCCACCACCGCCACAGTCGCTGCCCACCACTTACATTGGCTGCTGACATTTGGGCTATGCCCATTTCAAACCTTTATAAACAGTTGTCATTAGAAGCTAACCCCCTTTTCCTGGTGACGACCGCTTGTGTTGCGATCAAAACGTCGTAGTTTTTTGTTATTCTTTGTAATTGTCTTTGGACCTATCTACGTGACTTTACAGAAAGACCCAAAGAATATGATTTCAATTATTTGTTTACTACAAATGCATAATTAAACATGCCATATACATGACAGAGACTTTTCAGTCGTGATGCCAACAGCAACCTTAATATTCACAATGCAAGTGCCAGAGTTGACCATCTCATGGACTCACCTCTCGCTTGCTCAGAGCACAAAGGAGGCTGGAACTCTCTTCCTGACCCTCTTTATAGACAGACAAGTGCGAGGGTGCGATGGAGTTGCATTGTGTCCAGCTTGAAACAATAAACAAACCAAACACGTGATTAATTATTTTCAAAGTACACCACAAAGTAACCACAGTTTCAGATAATTGTGAACTATGCATGAGTTTACTGACGCACATAGACTTTCATTTAAAGGTTATTACAACAACATACACATTGAAACAGCATCTAAATAGCAGTTAATCTGAACAAAACCATTTAAACCGGATGAATCCCAAAAGCATGGTGGGAGGTGTTAGTCATTGCAATACTCAAACCCGACAAGCCAACCGGTGACCTGGGAAGCTATGGGCTAATATTACGCATGTAAACGACCTACAAACTCCTGGAACGTCGAGTCAGTGATCCCTAGAGATCAAGCAGAATGTGGGGACTTCTCATCGGACTATAGCACAGCCTGGAATAAGGACTTGATGTGGACGCTCACAAGGACCATCCCTTGCCAGAAAACAATCCTCGTGATATGGCCTTCGCTGATCAATAGGTCTCTGCGTGTTTATATGAGCAACAAAGCCAGCTCACCCTGGCTCCTTATTGTATATACAGTCGATCCTTCTACATCGCGACTTTACCCATCGCGGTTTCGATATATCGCGGGGTCGGCATAAGAAATAAAATGGGAATTCTTTTGGGGAGTTTTGCGAAAACCGCAGACGACATGCGAAGGCCGGCAAATCACACACAAAGAGTTTAGTAACGCAAAAATGCATCACATATATGCATAATATCAATGTATTTATTCTTTAATACCATAAATATACACAATTTTTTAAAAGTAAAATTCTATGAAAAGTTATTTTGCGAGTTGGTTTGGAGGATGCCAAGCTTGTTTACGGCAGCCTCTCGCGTGATATCTCACAGCCCCTCCCCTGTACCCCCTGGCTGGAGGTGCTCGCTTCGCTCGCCAAGGGGACCAAAACATTTAACGCGTTTTTTACAGATCGCGGGGGGGGGGGGTGCTGCGCCCCCAACCCCTGCGACGTGAAAGGGTCGACTTAGGGCTGAACGATGAATCGATTTCAAATCGAAATCGCAATTTGAAACAATGCAATTGGCAAATCGCGAAGGCTGCGATTTTTGGTGATTTGAACAGTCCTATTACTTTCTTATTGAAATTGTTTTATTTTTTATTATTATAACTTTCTTTATTTAACTTAGCAATTGTTCTATGTTTGCTTGTTCTAATTGAATTAAAACATTTTAATAAATACATGTTTGAAGGAATTCATATCTTTTAAGTTCTCATCCTTGCATTAGACTATATAGGGCAGTTCATATTTTTATGGTATCATGTGGTATTGCTCCATCACATATTTTAAATTTATTAACACAGTGAATATTGAACTGAAGCTTGACTTAAACAATTTAATCGCAAATCAAATCGCAATCGCAACATGTCAGAAAAATCGCAATTAGATATTTTTCCCAAATCGTTCAGCCCTAGATCGACTGTATGACTATTATAATTTTTGGAATGTCTTGTCTATTTTGAATGTCGCAGTTCCTGACAGACACATATGCATTCACTGCATGCCAGAAGTCGGGAAAACCAGATGGCTAAGCCACAACAGTATTAGAATGAGAAGTGGGTAAACAGAATGAATGAGACATCTATCAAATTGGTATGATGAGAATAACCAGAGCTGAGGAGGGCCTGGAAGAAGGTGTACATTTTGCTTCCCGGGAATTCACCGAACTCGTGTTGTAAAGGAGGAAGACGTTCATGACAGGCCATAGAGGAATAACTCTTGCATGTGCAAGGATTGACCCAGGGAAATTTCTGAGAGAGAATATACGCAAGGGTGGACCCATGGCAAAACACCATAAACTTGCTGCTCACCCAAGGGCAAATACAGGCAAAAGAGACAAGTATGCACCTTGCCGATTCACTCTCTGAATTAACAAACCCTGGTGCCTGGAAAGTTGAAACGTTCAAATGCCAACCATGCATATGAACATTCTTAAACATCATGGTATTAAAAATTACCTTTGGTGATACTAGATATTTTAAAGTGACAATACAGCATATAGTCAGGGGGTTGTGAATACAACTAGTTACATGTTCTATTAACATCCACTTATCAATATGTAGTGACATAAGAAGGGAGGGGCTGCTGGGGGCTCTGGGACCCTGGGCGGGCCGGGCGCTTAAGCCTCTTGGCGTCAGGCGTTGGGTTCCCGGGTGGCCCAGGCGCTTAAGCCTTGGTGCCGCCAAAGGGGGGGGCTGTGTGTGCTCTGTGGGAGATCTGGGGGCGCACACGGCCCCACCCCTCGTTCGGGACTAGGCATAAAAGCGAAACTCCCTGGACGATCAGGGCCTGTCGTAGCTCAAGACCCAAGACCCAAGACCAGCCATCTGAGGACCCTGGGACGTTGTGAGAGCCAGTGGTGGGACTCTGGAACTCCCGACTCTACGACCTTGTGAGGGCGAGTTCTGGAGCATAGCCAGAGTGTGTACCTAGGCTGTGTACCTAGGCTGTGTACCTGGGAGCTGTTACAGAGTATCAGGACTGTTGGACTGTTGGTTGGATTGTAATAAAGAAGTTACCTCTACAAGTGTCTCCGGAACCCGTTACATTTGGCGTCAGAAGTGGCTATGGAGACAAGAAGTAAGCCACGTACCTTCGGTCCTGACGGCAATGTCGAGGAGCAAGCAGCGATGGGGCGGCCAACGCCGGCCGACAGTGACGCTGCACCGCCGGCCGACAACCACACCGCACCGCCGGCTGAGCAGCTGTCTGCTCCGCCGACCGTCCCCTCTCCAGCATCGAGAGCAGGGATGGAGGAGGCGCTGCTTCGCCTCGCAGAGCTGCTCTGCGCCACCGCCTCCCTCCTGGGCGAGATGCGGTGCTCGCGGCCGATGGCGGGAGGGAGAGAGGAGGCGCGGCGCTCGCCCGAGCCCGCCGCCGCCGCCGCCACAAACATGGTGAACGCCGCCGCCATTCCCGCCACCGGCGTTCCCCCCAACGGATGTGAGGGATACTTCCGGGAATGACATCACTTCCACCGGAGGAGCAATGACCGCTGGGAGCAACGTCACTTCCGGGCCCAACGTGGTCCAACCAAGCAACGCTGCGTCATCAGCGCTGCGACCTTCACTGCCGGACGACAGCTGGCTTCAACCTAGCATACCGCGTCATCAGCGCTGCGACCGGACAGTGAGGGCACCATTCTTACTGTAACCGGCGCCGGGGCCGGCACATCGACCGACACGCTGGTCGCCGCCTTTGCTGCTCTGGCCAAAGGTTGGAGGTCGGGAGACCAGGCCCCTGACACTTCGTCCATTTACGCGCTCCGGATTAATGATTTTTTTGTTGACATTTTCTTCGTTGTCGTCGGGGAGTCGTGACTGTTGTTGGGTAAACTGTGTGGAGCTTCGCTCGTGAGTGTTGTCAATGTGTGTGCGAAACTTTGCTTGTGATTGTTAACAATGTATGGTTTGTATTGAGCTTTGTTCGTGATTGTTAATGTATAGCTTGTGCTGTCATTGTTAACGATGTATAGACTGTATGGGGCATTTATCTTGAGATTATGACATGCTGCCAAGGATTTGGAATTGTCAGGCTGGCTCTCAAATATCCTGGGGTGCAGATCCTGACCAGGATGGCCCAGCGGGTGTTGCGTGTCTAACACGAGAGTTGTGGTCCCGTCATGCTATGGCTGACGGCTTGACCTGACAGCCCGGAGATAGAGACACTCCGTGGCATGTCTAGCCTAGTGGGCTGTGCGCTCACATGGCTCGGAGAGTGTGGTCCCGTCATGGAATCGCTGACGGCTTGACCTGACGACCCGGAGGTTGAGACCCTCCGTGGTGCGTCTGGAGCAGTAGGCTCGCCCTGACGGCCCGGAGATTGAAACACTCCGAGGCGCGTTGAAACAGTGGGCTGGAGATTCGTGGTGTTCAGGTGTAGTTGTCCCGTTACGTTGGGACTGTATCCCTCAGTTGTTAGGGTGCATGTTGTGCAGGGAGTGAACGATGGGTCGTCTCAGCTTGGTCGGTACAGCTATATGCTGCGATGCGAGTCTTGGAGAGAGATTGGGTCTCAGCTCGGTCGGTACAGCTATATGCTGCGATGCGAGTCTTGGAGAGAGACTGGGTCGTCTCAGCTCGGTCGGTGCAGCTATATGCTGCGATGCGAGTCTTGGAGAGAGACTGGGTTGAAGCCTCCCGATATGGCCGACGTGCGCGGTTTTAGGATGAAGACGCCACGTTGGGGGGGGGTGCTAACGGTTGACATGTAATGTCGGTGGTGGTCCTCATTGAGGGCTGCTGAGACGCAAGCACGGCATGCCTTTTGGAGATGCGGTTCACGCGTGCGGCCACCATTTATGGACAGGAGCAGGCAGATTTATTTTGTTTGTGTCATGTCAATTTTATATATATATTTTAAAATGTAGATACTGGAGCAGCCCTGAAGTGCGACTTCTTTGCCCAGTACGACTTCTCGACCCGGGACGTAGACAGACGTCCGGATTAGTGTGTGTAGAGGGATGCTTGACATGTTGGTCTTCGCCTTCTCTCCACCTGACGGATGGGAGGCTGGCAGGGTGGTGTGGAACCCTGCCATCCATGCGGTGGTTGTGCATCCAACGCGTCGGAATCTGTATATTTGTTGTTGTTAATTCCCCGTTTTCTATGCGGATCCCGAGGAGGGTTAGGTGTGCCGCGGGTCGTTTGTTCACGTGTCATTGCTTCACCTTTTTGTTGATTGACGCTTGTATATAGTGTAAAGTTGTACAGGTTGGTTATGGTATTTATGGTTGCTTTCTTGTTCTCTTTTTCTTTTCCTGTTGAGGCTCGCGTATTATTAACAGCCGGGACGGCTGGAGGCTACATAGAGGAGGATAATGTAGTGACATAAGATGGGAGGGGCTGCTGGGGGCTCTGGGACCCTGGGTGGGCCAGGCGCTTAAGCCTCTTGGCACCAGGCGTGGGTTCCCAGGTGGGTCAGACGCTTAAGCCTCTTGGCGTCAGGCGTTGGGTTCCCGGGTGGCCCAGGCGCTTAAGC